ATAAAATGAATCAATTGTTTTATATATTTTAAATAAAAATAATAACATACCAAATAATGTAAATTAACAAACTTCAACAAGTATGCACGAATATTTGAAAAACATTAAGATTGATTATAGAATAACTTAAAAATAACCATGGCAAAGGAGGGAATTGATGTATATGGTTTTTTAGAGATATAGGATCACCTCTACCAAATTGCTATTAGACCAAGTGCAAAAAACTCAAAGATAAAATATTTTAGAGAAAAGTATAAGTAAAAAATATATGGAGAATAAAACTCAAAATGTTGGAGATGGTGACATTTTATAGTGATATGAAATAAACAAAACTTTTATATTCTATAATTAAATGTAATTAGAGATGAACATGGTTATGGGCGATATTAAGCCCTAAATAAATCTCATAGGTCAATACCAAATACCAAAAAGTACATGAATCATGCCAACAATAAAGAAAGATTTAGTCCAATGACTAAGACCCAATGACCAATTGAGCCAAATAGCTGTCAAGCTTACCAACCCGGTCGATTTGTGACCGAGCCAACCAGACTGATTAGGCCTAAAGGCTAGTAGGTCGCATAATTGAGATGACCACTAAGTAGATTGGTCAACATTTGGTTTACTAGGCCCACAAGCCAACTAGCCAAGCTGGCCTATGACTGACCATGCCCAATAMACCAGTTGGTCGGCCTAAGGCCAAGCCGACCACATAGTTCGGTTGGASGGTCCGTAGTCAACCAGCCTATGGGTCAACATTTTCCCGTTTGTCTTGTGGGCTAATATTCACCATCCAATCGGGTAGCCTAGTGGTGCTCTTGAACTCGACGATTTTCTCAACTATTAAGAAATTGGACCTTCGAAATTATACAACATGAATTCAAAGGGAATAGAGGATGAAGTCTCGTAATCAATATACACTACAAAAACATATTTCTTATTACACTTCATTAGGGGTGTTTAAAAAATCTAATAACCGAGCAACCTGGACAACTCAACTAAGGGTTGGTTGGGTTAGAAATTTGTTTGGTTTGGTTCGCGGATTGCAGAATTTTCTAAACGGTTCAACACAACTCAAACTCAACCAACCTTAAATTAAAATAATATATATGTATATATATATATATATATATATATATATATATCATCTCCCACCTCTCTCAGCTTTCTTCCCCCTTCATCTCTACCTCTCTCTCCCCCTCTATCCCAAAAACCTACGATTCATTTTTTTCAAATTTATGTAGTTACTAATTTTCAGGGCAGGAGAGCATGAAGGACTTTTTAGCCATTGTGGATGGAACTCTGTGATGGAAAGTATGAGCTGCGGAGCAGAGGGTGAAGCAAGGGATGTGGTGGAGGATTTGTGAAGGGGTTTGTAGAGGGAGTTAATGAAGGAGGAGAGGGGGAAGCATGCGAGGAAAGAGGGCCGGTGAGATTTCAAAGATGATTAAAAAGGCTATGGTGAAAGGTGGGCCGTCTTAGACCAAATTGGATACGAACAACCTCTCCTCCTCCACCACGTGACCCTCTATCCCACTTCCCTCCACAGCTTCTCCTCTGCCGCCTGCCTCCCTTCTCCCTCTATCCCTCATTCCCTCCCTCTAAAAATTTCAACCCGACGACCCAATTTAAAGATATAAGGATTTGGTTGGGTTGTGTTGTAAATTTCGTTTGTATATTTCGAGTAGCTAAACCGACCAACCCAAATTTGTAAATTTGTTGAAAAACCCTTATAGTCCAACTCAACCCAATCCCTAAAAACCTCATGCTTCACATAATCTCTAATTTAAACATCGAAGTGTGTTGTTGGCATCACATCGGCACGTAATTCTAACTTGTTGGGTAGGTTATCCATTTTTTTTATATTAGTGTGGGTTTGGTAATTCAAGTGCATCAACAAGAGTAAAAATTTTAATATATTATTATTTAGTTTATATTGTTTCCTTGCTAGATAATTAACCGTTGTTTTATTACATTTTTAATTAAAAATCTATTATACTAATTAATACATTTAATTCTTTTACTTTTTGGGTTTCTAAGAGATATTTAGTATCTTTTTTCTCATTACTTTCCCATTATGATTGCACATTTGCTCTACAATCTCCCTCCACTTTTATTCCAACTTCACCGTCATGGTTAAGCTTATTTCTTTTGGGTTCTTGAGTCATGTTTGTTTGTTTGTTTTTTTTTTCCAATTCTAAAAGATAAATTTGGTCATGTTTTATTAGAAACAAAAATATGACCTACTACGTGGTGAGATACGACTAAATTATCAAACTTATCCGTAGTTCGTTTGAACTATGAAACTCATCCATAGGTCGTCGAACTACTAAGATCATCTCAGTGGCTGATCTATTAAATTTGACCAGGATGGTACCAAATAGCTCGACCAATCTAGAGACAGTCTAAACAAGGTTAGTTGAACCTATGACGACAACCAGTAACTGCCCAACTACTTGTTGTAACGACTAGTCTCCCTCATCCGCCTATAAAACGACACATATTCTTCTCAATAAGGTATCCAATTTTGTTTAAAATTAGCCTACTCAACTCGAACTCATACTAACTTGAGTTTCAAAGTGTTTATTTCTTATTTTCAGGTCTTATCTTGCATAGCTCGCTCCTCTATAACTTATTTGGTGAAAATATAGCCGACCTTCCATCCATGGTGGACTTCCACATTAACATAATTGAACATATCGTCCTTTTGCACTTTTTTCTCCTTCGAAAGAACCATTTGAGTAGAATTCCCCCATTCGAGAAACATGGCATCCATACTATTGTAAATATTCCCAAAAACAGTACACAGATTTAAATAGCACTCTCCGAAATTCAACAATTTTATATTTCAATAGGATAAAGGACTATCTAGCATTTATTTTGATGACAATTGGATAGTGGTAAATTTAGTCTTATTTTAATTAGATATATTAGAAATAGTATCACGATTATTAATTGGATAATAGGTTGGATCGATTTTTCATCCAAGAAGTTTTATTAGGGTATATTTGAAAAAGACGAAATCACTTTTATCATTTTCTATCACTTATCTTATTATAATTTTGTTATTGTCAAAATCACTTCCATTCAAAAAAGTAATGTTTAATAATATACAAGTAATTTTAGAATATATCTAACATTATTATTTCTAATATGAAAAAATATATATATATTGATTTGATCAATCAATTGGAAATTGGGAAGTAGCATTTTCCATGATTCGACCATTCATGTTTTTAAGAACAAATCCACTTCTTTTTTTTTTTTTTAAATTAAATTGTTCACCCTCTTGAAACTTGAAATAGGGTGGTGTTGAATCAAAATTGAAAACAAGAAGAATGATATTTGGTCAACTTTATGAGTTGGGCAATTGATAGACAAAAGTAGATGGAAAAAAGTTCTCCGTGGGGATTTCGATCCCGCAATTTTATTGAGAAAAATCTCTACCGTAATACTTCTTAATCTCCTATGTGAATGAGCACTATGTTAACTCAAATAAAAAATCTAATAAGATAGAAAAACTCAGTCAAAGGATTTACTTACAACCAAGAGTTAAAAAATCAATTTTCCATTTTTTTAATTTAAAATAAAATCAAACCATAAACTAATAATACACGTTTGGGAAGGAAGAAATTTCAAATATTGAAGACTTGCTTGAATTATGATCAATTTACTTTCCATACATCGTATACAATTCATATTCTACCATTTACAAAATCTTATCTCAAATAAACATCAAAGAACATCATCACATTGGTGAACCTGAAATCTAAGTAGATTNAAAAGAATCAAAATTCATAAAAAATTATGAATTAAAAGAAATTTAGAAAAAATAAAGAATTAAAGATTTGCATAGACGATTAGATCCAAATATTTTCATGGATTAAAAAAACGATATATATATATATAGAGAGAGAGAGAGAGAGTAATAAACAGGAAAGAAGGAAAATAGATATAAAAAAACGCATAAGATTAAAACTCTGTATGTAATCCAAATTCTATTTTGTTTTTAGATCCACTGAATTCATTTAACTAAATTTTTTAAAACTTTTGTTTTTAGATCCACTGAATTCATTTAATTAAATTTTTGAAAACTATTTTCAAAGTATGTGATCCAAATAGTAATAATTATGAAACCTATAGTTTTATGTTTTCCCAATGTTTATAGGTTTGGAATTTGAAACATAAAATACAAAATTACATTGAAAAGTATTAAAACAAACCTCGAATAAATATACTATTTCATATTATAAACTCATTTCATTTTTATTAAAATTATAAAATATATAATAATATTGTAACTAATAATTATACAAAATTTATATCATGTATGTTAATAATTAATAAATTTTTTGATTCATCAAAATATTTAGTTGGTAACACTAATTTATAAATATATTAGATTCAATTTTCAGATTTGCTACCAGATACATTAAAAATACCAAAACCATGAAATACAATTCTATTTTTCAAATCCCATTTCAATATGTTCATGAATTTGATATGAAGTCAATCAAAATTTATATTTTATTGTGAATATATAAAAAAAAACATAAAAATATCAACAACATATCACTCATATAGACATAAAAAGTAGGGCCTCTATCAGTATTTTTGGAGTAATTTAGGCAAATATAAAATATAATCAATCGAAACTGAATGCAAGTTTACGAATCAGAATCAAAATTCCCAAAGTAAGCAAAACTAAAACAGGAAAGAAAGATTAGGAAATTTTTTTATAAGTGGAGGATGAGCTTTGCGCTCCCAGCACCTCCACTCCTGCCCCTAACTTACCCAAAAGTTTGGACCTCAGATTTCTATTTGGTATGACCAAGAGACCCTAAGTCTTTGGCAATGGGAATGTTGCTTCGGGGCAGAGATTTAGGAACTAGAAACAGACATCAAACTAAAATATATTGACCAGGCCGTAGAAATATATCATGCAACAAAGTCCTATGAATTCTTTTGTTCAAATATGCAAACTAATGCACCCAGTCAAGTAATAATACACAGCCAGAAGAACAATTTATAAATCTGTCTAGTGTCTACATGAATATTCGAACAATTAAGACCAGAATAAACTCCGCACTCGCATGAGAAGAAAGGCACCAAACTGAACTAGGAAAAACTTAAATGAAATAAGCACGATATTAACTTAAGAATTGAAATTACTTTACTCCAGATATAAATTTAACATATAAGTAAAAGCCTAAAGACTACATGAGTTTCTCTTCAATAAGTTCTTAACCGAGAGGCAAAAATTCAAATATCTAGCTCTATATCCTTTGTCTTCTTCATGACTAACACTTAAATAGGTTAAAAACAGGATGAAGAGCAAATCACAAGAGAAACACCTCAAAATCCGAGCTTAGTGCGGCGCCAGTGCCTTCTCTTCGCATTGTACCTGAAGAGAATACATAGAAATGAAGCGTCGGATTTAAAACCAAGAAGTATGAAAATGAAATTATGATGGAAAACAGAACAGAAGAGTAAAAGACCTGATGGTGTTGTCGGTCCTCAGGCGGATCCAGTGAGGAATAGGCCTGTTTTGTCTCATCTTCTTCGCCAACTTCTTCTTGATTCTGAAGGTCTTGTGAGACGGCTGCACATTAAAGAAAACTCATATCTGACATCACAACACAACCTCCCAAAACAAAAATCATTTGCACATGTAACTAAGGTCTCATTTGATAACCATTTTGTTTTTAGTTTTTAGTTAATGAAAATTATGCAAATTAGTTTCTTAAAAACACACTTGTATATTTTTCCAAATTTCAAAAACAAAAACAAGTTTTTAAAAACTACATTTTTTAGTTTTTCAAAACTTAGCTGTTGAAAATATTTCCAAAAGGTAGATAGCAAAACTATGAAATATATGGGTGAAAGTATTGTTTACGAGCTTAATTTTCAAAAAACAGAAAACTAACAATCAAATGTTTAATCAATCGGCCCTAAATAAATCACCCAGAAGGAATTCAAAAAGAAAACTTAAAAGAAAGAAACAGTTACCATCTTCGAGATTCAGGAATCGGCCTAGGACAGCCTGCAGCCACAAATTACCTGACCCATCAAGAAGCATTATCAAGACATCAACCAAATGAACAAAATCAAAGAGAATTACTAATTCAACATTGAAGTTCACAGTGGATAAAAGGGACATTCATATTCTGTAAATGCATAAGATTTGTTCCCTTTCTAAAACACCTTCGAACAATTATAGCTAGCGCACAAATGCTAAAAATTGCATATCAGTTAGACAAAATAATCAGCTTGAACGCCGACGCAATCGATCTCTAAAAAATCAAAACCTATTCTACTGTTTAGTTTATAAGGAACGAAACCCCGTGTTCTCGCTAACCTATTAATTCCAAAAACTATTCTAGAATTGAAAATACAATGAATGCCACTCGCAGATCTATAAAAAATAATCAAAATCGTAAGCCGACCAATATGGAACGTGGTTACTAATTACACGAAGAACCATATGATCGTAAATCCCAGAAAAAGAGTAATCGTAGATCAGCTAATGAAAAATTCAGAGGAAAACATGAGAGACTGAAGGCCTACCGAAGAAGAAGAAAGATTACCTGAGAGAGATGAGCGTTGAAGTGGCCGTTCTGTTCGATGAAGGTAAAGGAGATTAGGGTTTTAGGAATTCATCGGGTTTGGGCCTGATAATAAATGGGCCCAATAACTAACAGTCCATTGTGTTGTTCATAATGCGGTCCATTTGAATATCCTTTTATTATTTTTTATTTTATAATATTGAAACAAGGTTATCTCAGCGATGGAGAATAATTTGCTTAACAAAAAATTATATTTTTAAAGCTAGAAACAGTGTAAAATAGTAATAATAACAGACATGTACGGACTATTGTTTGGAAAAGAAACTCTCTATTTATTTTTTTAAAATATATTCTAATTTTCCTTTACAATGATTCAATTACTAAAATAAAAATTAAAATTGCCTATTTCTAAATTTAGGTTGAATGATAAGTTTGATCTCTACACTTTCAAAATTAGTATGATTAGAAATTTATCAGATACTTTTTAAAACTTAGAGACTCGATAGATACTTTTTAAAGTTCAGAGATTTATTAGAGACCAATTAAACTTATAAATTTTACAAATTTTGAATGTTATACCATGATAATTGAGAGCGAGTTGTGTACTAATTTTTAGTACTTGTGCTAAAAAAGCGTAATATAATACATAATAATTATTATATTTTAGTTTTCAGTATTACTTGAATTGAATATTTATATTAAATACGTCTAAAATTATACTTGTGAACATATCACCTTTTCAGTTCAACTATTAATTGAAACAAAAATCTTATAATTTAATAAAACTCTTAACTTTTTTAGGTTTAAGGTGCAGTATGATTAAATTGAAAGTTTATTGTAAAAATTCAATGTCAGTTACAAGGTTAAAATTGATATTTTCCCATCATATTTACATGAATCTGTGCCTTTTGACCTGAAATACTAAATGCACCACTCCCAAACATATTTTGTTTTTGTTTTTTTCCAATAAAAAAGAAACAAGAAACAGAGAAAAATAATTACCTAATGCAATTATGTTTCTTTCAATAAAAAAAAAGGAAAAGCAAAAAACATAAACACTACCCAGCGGGCACTAATTTAAGGTATTCTTGACGTGACAAAAATTTACTGTAAAATTTATTGATGAGAAGCTACATTCATCATTGAATAATCTTTCTTACCCCTTTTATCCTTTATTGGTATAAGAAGATGTAATAGGCCTCAACTTAGCTACAACATCTTTCATTTTTGACATTAGCAATCATAACAATAAGCGAACCACAATATGGAAGATAACAAACAAGCAGCAACTACATAAACTTTCATGCTTCTTTTTCCATTGGAGCTACAACATAAGCTTGTTGATGCAAAGGTGAAAAATGGAGAAAGAGGACGATAACCGACATGTCATCCATTGCAATTCCCGGCCTCCTCCGCTTCCACGCACGGGTAGCATACTCAACCAATCGTCGAGCTGATTTGGCTCTATCCGTCGTTGAATGAACGATCTGCACTGCTTCTTGATTCAAGACGACGTCCCATATCTAGTAAAAATAGACGAAACATTGATACAACTTTAGGACTATTACCATACCATTGTGCATTTAGCTCGTTAAGAACATTCTCTAGCTGATGAAAGAATGTTACTTTGAGCAGAAAAAGAAGTGTGAGAGGCTTACCCCATCAGTTGCAAGCACAACAAACAGGTCTTTGCTGGTCACAGTTCTTTGTGTTACATCGGGCATAGAGATGAGTCCAAAATGCTTGACACAAAAATCGCCGAAGGATCTCGACATCGACAACCCGGGAGCTGCCCTGTTCGGCAGCCAGATACGGGGAGTCCCGGGTTCATCTGGCAAGCAGAAAACTCTCCCATTGCATTGTGCTATCCTCTCAGCCTCCTCTGACAATAAAACAATGACCAAAATAAAAATGTAAGAGCTTTGTACCCTCCATTTTATATATTCATTTATATATAGAGAAAGGAACGAACGAGGTAGATTTGGCTTGAAATCAACAGTGAGCTGAATTGGTAATGGTACCGAGTTTCCATCATCAGAAGTTGTAGCCATCACGGCTCGGGAGTCGCCTGTGTTTGCAATAACAATCATATCACCCTGATAAAACAGAAGAATTCAGATCAAAAATCTTATTGTAACACTAGGAATCATTTCGAAGAGAGAAAACACATTACCTGTCGAACGATTGAAAGGGCCGTTGTTCCACTATGGAACGTGTCGATTTTACGGTGCCGCTCGAGTTCTAGATCAATGGTAGCACAGGCTTCTATATAAGAATGCTTCCATATATTGAACTGTAGATGTGATTTCCCTGAATTGAGTTCTAAATTTGGTTGAAGAGCAGTTTGAACAAGTGCATCTTGCCAATTGCAAAGCAGAGCTGTTGGCATTGACTTTCTAACCTTCTTTGCAACAAAATGGCCCCATGGTCCATGGCCATCAAAGACCCCACAAAATATCATATCCTTTTGACACCCAAATTCCTATCACCAAAACCAGTTATCCACATTTCAAAACTCAATATGAGGCAAAAAACCTAAAACTTGCCTTTTCTTTTCCTGTCTTTTGTTGGTGAAAAATATGAATAGCTCTGCTCGAATCTTTCGTTCGTTTGCTTATTTGCAATATTTGAGGGCGAGAAAAAAAAGCAACTATATTTAACATTTTTGCACTCTCTTCATGTTCTACTCTTACTTTAAGCAACAATTATGAGCACAAATTTTGTTTTGAAGCTAAATTGCATACCTCCCACACAATGCAGCAGTCCTGATTGGTTCCTTTCTCGCCCCTCTTCGAAAAACTTGAGACGAAGTTCTCCGAGTCGTCGAGATTTATACTTCCTGAACCATGGATAATCAGATCCTTCTTCTTTGCAGACTTCGCCATTGCTTCTGCAGCTTCTCTCCCACTCACAACTGATGCATTTTCAGAATTTCTCCATTTCTTAGGGGTCAGTGACTTTGTTAGTTCATTGAACTTGAAGAACAAATGCTCCATTGCCTTTTTGGTGAGTATCGGTTTCGTGCACTTGTCGTTCTTCCCCGAGTCCTAGTCAGTGAAGCTTAGGAAGGATCAAATACAATCAAATATAAGAATTGGATGAATGCAAGTGGAAATAAAGAAAAGCATTGCAAAAAAAAATGTTTTGTTTTCATCTTCTTTTTGATTACTTTGTTTGGTTTCTGTTTGTTTCTCCTCTCCTTCCAAACATTTTTTCCTCAGAACCAAAAGGAATGCTGTTGGAGAGTAAAAGACAGAATCTGACTCAGAAGGCTCATTCTCTCAAATTTTAAATTCAGAACCAAACACAGGGACACTGAATCTGAAGTACACGACACGGAATATTCATTCGAAAGCTGAATCGTCTATTTCTCTGTGAGGCTCTCCATGTTTCTACAATGGTATGACATTGTCCGTTTCGAACCTAAGCCCGTAGGATGTTACTTTGAATTCTATTTAAAATGAGAAGAACTTGTAACAAACATATCAAGGATCTTCCTCAATTATCGAATTTAATCATCATCAGTATTTTTATACTAGAAGATAAAATGAGAGACAATATTCTAAGTTGTTGGTTATTGCAGACAAAAGGGTAGGTTACAAAGAATCTTGTGATATTTTCCCTCAATCTACTGATCCACCAATGAAATCTGATCAAGGTTCGCAGACTTGTTTGGCCACCGAGAAACGAGAGAAAAAGTTGGTTTTGTTATTAAACAATGTTTCTACCAAATCCTTATGGCCTCATGCCAAAGTTTTTCTATCAAGCAATAAAATATTCCGGCTAAAAGAACACTAGAATCTTACTTTTTCATTGAAGTAACGATTTACTCCCTAAATTCTAGTGTGGAAAGATTTAATCATTCAATAAGTGCAGTTTAAAATTTACAACGATTTAATATTTGAAAAGTTCTAGAAAGGTATAATAAAGGTCTGGCATATGTCGCTATTGAGATCCCATGTGTATAAAGTAAAGATGAAGAAAAGAAATGACGGATTGATGAGATCTAGGTGGTTCTGAACCATACCTTTTAACAAAATTCGTCACAAAAATTTAAACTACAGACACAAAATTGTATATTCTAAGTTCAAAACTAAATCATTAGTTAAACTATTGAGAGTAAACCTCTATCATACTAGAACTTAAGGATTAAATCATTGCATCATTACTGCAATCAGCAGAAGGAATGTGGCTTTTAACCCACCATTTTAAGCTTTTGGAAAGTGAGAACAAAAATGGAAAAAAAGAAAAAAGATACTGAATCCCACCAGTAAAAAGCGACCCAGATGGGGAAATGATAAAGAAAAAGCAGAATGAAAATTGTAATTTGTTTGTTTTCTTTTCTTTCATTCTCTACGGCATTTTCTCAGCAAGAAAGTGAAGTATGAGGAAATGTAAAAAACCAGAACAACAAACTGAAAACCCAGTAATCTAAAACAGAAAGAAAAAGAAGAACCTTGATTTTCCGGGAAAATGAACATGAACAGGAAAGTGAGAGCTAGAGCGCCGGAATCTGAAGCAATGGCCGGAAATCCGACTCCGTCCGTAAGAACGCGGCGAAATTCCGGCGACCCAAGTCGGCGCAGAGAGAAACCAGCGGCTGAAACCGATCGATATCCATGGAAGCAGCTCGCGGCTCCGATTCTGGCTCTGGTTTTTTAATTTTCCCGGGAAACAAACAGAAACAGACCAAATGCCTAAACCAAAGGCTTAAAAAAGATCTCCAGCTTTCTTGGATTTGAAAAAGGAGCTTCGATTCACTGCCAATTTGGGTCAGATTCAGCATTAAATAAAGAGAAATCAGAGAAATATTTAGTTTACGCAAAGGAGATATGGGCATATCGCATATGGATTTCTACATTTTTCAAACAACATCATTATAGTATTACCTCGTTTTCCATGGTGGAGGTCAACAATTGCCACCTGGTAACATGGGTTTTAGATATTTTGTGGGATTGAATCTTTATTAAGATATTTTGGTGCATTGCTAAATTACAAGTTAGCAATCGCAGGGGCTTTGTTTAATATGTTTTCCAACTTTAAAAAGCTAAAAATAAATTGATGAATTTTTAATTTTAGGACGGTGTCGGTCTTTCCATGTCGATATTCATGATGTCAAAGGCATGAACAATACTTCTACCCTGATGAGGAGTCAAAAGTGAAGAGCGCTCATCGTCGGTAACCACCTCGTAATTTCATCCCTTGAAACACACATTATGTAATTTGAGACGATAATTTTTATTTTTTATTTATATAACTATTAAATATTACTCTTAAAATAAATTAAAAATTTTAATTTATAGAAGAATTAAAAACTAATTTATTGATTATTCAAATAGGAAAAAGTATAAAAGTTGAAATAATTTAAGCAAATGAAGGCCGTCTCAATGTACAAAAGAAAAGAGCGAGACTTTTTAAACCTTGCAAGGTTGCTCTGGTTGATTTAGAGACAATTCTACTATGACTCTTTTTGTGGGGAGAGAATATGTGTAGAAATGAAATGTACCGAATTTATTTATGAGTCTTGTACACACCGCTCATTATACTATACTCAAAACTCCAGTTCAAATAATAATTTATTTAGTACTTTTGTTCCAATTCAACAACAAACAACTCCGAACTAATTAAGTGCTTGTACCAATCGATTCAAGTTCGATAAGAAGTTCTAGTTTTTTCTGAATCGTTGGTACTAACTTTCCATTTATGAAACGCTCTTGATGGAAAAAAATGTGAAGGAAATATCATTGAATCGTTGGAGAGGAGCAAGAAGGTTGGGGGAAAGACACATGAGAGATAAACGAGAGGCAAAAGAAAAGTTATATATATGTATGTGATATATATATATATATATATATATATATTATTTTGTTTTGTCAAGCTGCTCTTTTTAACTCCAAACTAATCTAAACTATGTTTGGGGAAAAGAATACCCTGGACACGTGGAGGACCCCTATTGGTGTTCCAAGATGACCCATGAGTCATGTCCCAGCTCGGACCGCCGAGATCACTACCACTAGCGTTGACAGATGCTAAGTATGAGGGCCGATGTGAGCTACTGTCAGCGGCGTGATTATCGGGTGTAACCGTCGGTCGGTCCCGAGATTACCGGGTGTAACCGACGGTCCCGAGATTACCGGGTGTAACCGTCGCGAGGTTAGCGGGACTACCACCCATAAGTAGAGGACCTCACTCCACGATCAGGTACGATGATTTCTGACCTCGAACTAAACTGGGAATCCGACCTATACTGACTTGATCGTCGGAGTGCTCACCTTTTTGTGCAGGTCCGCCCAAGTATTCAAATC